TTTTTTTTTTTTTTTTTTTTTTTTTTTTTTTTTTTTTTTGTTGTTGTTGCTGTGTAGCGCTGGCCTTTGTGGCGATTTGTCTTATTTCATTATTTGTAATTAAAACTTTTTTTTCTGTTTTCTTTTTATCCTCATCAACATTATCTTCTTTTGTTTCTTTTTTTCTTAGTATATTTGTTGTATTTCTTGCTTTTTTTTTAGTTTTTATTTCTTTGTTTTTCTTCTTTTCTTTTTGTTTTATACGTTTACCTGAGGGAACGAATGGCATAATAAAAGCCAATTAAAACAAATTAGGTGAAACAGTATCGTCTTGTATCTGCGGTGTACATACACCTCAAACAAACGCAGGTGGAGCAGCGGAAACAGCAACATCAGCAGCAGCAGCACCAACAGCAGCAGCAGCAACCGCACTGACAGCAGCAGCAGCAGCAGCAGCAGCACTATCAGCAGCAACACGAACAGCATTGCAGCTCTAACTGGCTTTCTGTATCTGAACACAAAGAAATCAGGTGGGGCCCCTATAGCCTTTTCTCCTCGCTAGGATGTGTTTGTGAATAAGATATGTTTATAATAAAAATAAAATATGTTTAATAATAAAATATATTTGTATAAATATCTGTTTATTTATAATTTATGTTTGTTGTTAAGCTATGTTTCTTGCTGTGTGTGCGAATGGGGTGTATATGCAGTTTCTATTATTCCCTATAATAATATTCACGCTTTAATTATATTTTATTTTAATTTATTTAATTTTATTTTATTTTATTTTAATTTATTTTATTTTATTTTTGTTTATTAAGTCAAAAAGAAAAGACCCAAAGAAGAGAAAAATATCCTCGAGGCGTTTCCGAAAGCCTATGAGACAGGGGGAGTAACAACACCCCATGCCTGCTGCTGCTGCTGCTGCTGCTGCTGCTGTTGCTGCTGCTGCTGCTGCTGCTGCTGCTGCTGCTGCTGCATCTCTTCATCGCTTTCTTCATCCTCGCCGACAACAATTCCACCTACAGGGGTGTTGAGCCCGGGTGTAACTGCAGGTGTTTGTTTAATATATATATCAGCTGGGCCCTCATCGAAGGCCCCCCATACTGTCTCTATATTTTTTTCACTGGGGTTGCTGTTGCTGCTGCTGCTGCTGCTGCTAGCTTCTCCCGCCCCACCACCACTCGATCGGGTGCCTGTACACTCCGTGCTGTTAGCGCAAGAAGAAGCAGCATTGTTGCTGCTGCTATTTAAGCATTCTATATCAGCAAGAGGGTCACCCTCATAAAACAAATCTAACTCTCCCTGGCTCAGGGGCCTCCTACCCCCATCTATTCTCCCCATAAGAGTTGCTGCGTTTTCTTGTCTTATTACATCAGCAGAACAAATAGAACGGGGGGCCCCCCGTGTAGCTGATGGGCTATTGAGGTGCATGGGGGCCCCCTGATGGGGGCCCCGATGGGGGCCCCCCCTCTGTGGTGGCCGTACCCCAAGAGATAAGAAAGAACCCCTGAGGGCCTCCTCTTCTGTCTCGTATTGTCTTAGTGCTGAATCTGAATCTATAGAAGCAAATGCAGGCAGAGGCAAAGAACCACACAAACGAACAGAGCCCAAGTGAAAAGCAAGAGAGCTGCAAGGCCACTCTATACCCTGTGGGGCTGGGATCGAACGATCCCCATCACGATCCCGATCCCGGAGCTCGTTGGAGCCAGGCAGAATACTGCTGCTGCTGCTGCTGCTGCTGCTACATCCAGCAGCAGCAGCTGCTGCAGCTGCTGCTGCAGCAGCAGGGTTAGCTGCAGCAGCAACAGGGTCTGTCGGTGCTGAGAGTGCATGCAAGTAGTGTTCTGCAAACACGCGCATATCTTTCTGTGTTTCATCCTCCTCCTGCTGCTGCTGCTGCTGCTGCTGCTGCTGCTGCTGCTGCTGGGTTTCTACTGCTGCTATAAGAGCTCCATACATTCTCCCCATATCTCTCACTTCGTAGCTTCTATCAAACGCAGCAAGCTGCAGCAGATACCGCAGCAGCAGATCTAATCGAGGGAAATGTTCTTCGCTCTGTGCCCGTGAGGGGGGAGGAATCAGCCGTTTCAGCTCTCCCTGTTGTTTATAGGGTTCTGTATTGAGTGTATCTGCAGGGGGGCCCCCCCCCTCCCTGGGGGCCCCCCCCTCCCTGGGGGCCCCCCCCTCCCTGGGGGCCCCCCCCTGGGGGCCCCTCAATCTGTTTTGACGGTGAAAAGCCCATAGACGCATGCCGAGGAGGAGAATTTGCAGCTTAACCTCTTCTGCTTCATCTATGAATCCTCTGGCTAGCTGCCTGAGAGCATCAGCAGCAACCCAGGATACTTGGTAGTGGTATTTGCCTATAACCCAGATCAACGATGCTCTTGCTGCAGGAGAGAAAAGACGAGAAAGCTGAGCAGCTAAGTGTAATACAAGCCGAGACAGAGTCTCACTATCCTCCTCACTCTGTTTCTGTTGTACTAGGGTTCTTACTCCTACAACAGCCTCAGCAGCAACGCATGCAGAAGCAGAATCAAGAAGAGAAACAAACAAACGCATGCAAAATATCTGTGCTTGTTTATGTTCTAAAGCCAATAAAGTTAATACACGAAAAGTAGTAGCTGTAAGAGATTCATCACCAGCCCAGTGTACATACACCCGAAGCTCAGGCAGCAACACAGACAAACAAGAAGGGAAAGCTAAACCAAAACATTGTAATAAATAAAGTTTTTGTTGACGCACGGGGTGTGAATCAGATTGTTTAAGAAAAAATTCTCTTATATGCGGCTGAAACAAAAAAGGAAAAAGAGAAACAAAAGAAGTGATCACGCGCAGCAACGTTTCTTTGAAATCATTTGGGCAGGTGTACATACACCGCAGCAAAGGTAACACAACACAACCCCAACATGAAGGGGGAAACAAACACTGCACCGCAGCACTAGCAGACACAACAACAGCTACACTGTCGCTGCTCAGCAGCAACTCAAGGGCCCCATGAAACCTCTCGTAATCTTCAGGCACAGGCTTATACTGCTTCTTACCAACACCCCCCCCACACCCGTTAGATATATCACCCTGGGGGCCCCCCTGCATAGGGCCCCCATGAGGGGCCCCCTGGGGGCCCCCATGGGGCCCTCCGCCTTTCCCGACGTTCCGAGAGGCTAAGAAAGCGAGAGACGAGAGGCGGGGGCCCCCACCGGCGCCCCCACCGGGGCCCCCAGGGGGGCCCCCAGCGCTGCCGAGGTGAAGAGAGTGGTTTGTGTGGTCTGCAGCTTCACGCGGATATGAAGAGGTTTCCTGGGGGCCCTCATGGGGGCCCCCCTGGGGGCCCTTTTCTGCTGGTTCAGGTTGTTTAAAGAAACAGCGGCAGTACCTTGTAAGCAGATCAACAGCTACCACCTGGGGCCCCGGCTGCAGCAGAGGCAGATTGGTGACGAGCCGAGAGTAGAAAGGATGCAGCAGCGCCAAAGCCTCCTCCTGTGAGCAGCCCCCGCCTACCCTGCTGCTGCTGCTGCTGCAGGGGGGGGCCCCCGCATCAGAGACCTCACCCTCGGGGCCCCCATTGCTGACGCACGGCCCCTGCTGCTGCTGCTGCTGCTGCTGCTGCACCGGGGGGCCCCCTGATGCTGGGGCCCCCTCGAGAAGAGACTGAAAAAAGATGAGGCGAAAGGAGATCAAGGCAGCGCCTGATACCGCTAGCTCTCCGTCTCCTATAAGCTGCAGCAGCAATTCAACAATCTCTTCTCTTTGGTCTGTATCTAAGAAATAAATTTTTGCTGCTGCATGCGCTGCTGTTTTGCGTACGAGTGGAGATGTATCTGCTGCAGCACGCTTGAGGCTGTGCAGCAGCAGCTGTACAATCTCCAAAAGATATAAAGATGATAAAGACTTGAGAGCTGCTGCTCTCACCACATGCGCGCTGCTGTATAGATCTTTCTGATAGCAGTTTACAGAAAGCAGAGCCAAGTCTGGGTGTTCATGTGCATGCTGCACGAGGTATAGATACACCAGACGTTTGAGCTCGAAGTCAGGGGTAGATAGGTTCTTTAGTACGTCTGCAAAGAACAAAGAAGAGCCCGCATCAGCCCCAGGAGTGTATGTGCATGCAGCAGCAGCTTCTGCTGCTATTGCACGACGCAGGCCCACTAACTTCGTCTCCGTGCTGGGACTTGATAGCTGCTGCCGTATCTGGCTGGCCTGTATCTCCCCCTCTTTGAAATAGCTGCTTTCACTCGAGCTCACAAACTTCAGCAACGCACGAACACCCTCCGATGCTTTCTGCACCAGCGGCGCAGCTGCCGCCTGCGTCGCGCTCCGCACCTTGCCCACTTGCTCCATATCTTCAGCTCAGCTTTCAGCTGCGCTTCAGCGGGATCAAGGGCTGCAAGCAGCAACGCTGCAGCAGCGCTGCAGCAGCGCTGCAGCAGCGATGAAGCAATAGGTAAGAATATAAGAAAGCCCTATTGGAGGCCAGCAGGCCACCGCTTGCTAGCGGAGATACAGACGGAGAAGATACCCATGTATGTAGAGAGACGAAGAGTGCAGATAAAACAGAAAAAAGAAGAAGAAAGGGGAAACGAGGAGCCCCAGACAGTTTATGTACGATCCTGAATGCTCGCGTACGCCCACCGAGGCTACCTCTCAGTTGCTGCGAAACCTGCGGCTCTTCGTCGAATAAAATGACAGAAATCAGTGGAAAAGGTTTATTTATGCTTGCTTTCCTTTCAGGGATAAAAGCTAAACACGGGGCATCGCATTTAATAGGCGGATCCGTTGTCGTCTCAGTCACCTCTCGCTACACGAGAGCTCAGGATGACTGACCGCTTGAAGCCGCAGAGAATCCTCGGCCCTCAGGGTAAAGCATAAAGATAATGAATGGAAAACAAAGATTTCTACAATAAGAAGAGGATGTTTAATTGAATGGCGAGGAAGAAGAAGGCGAACAAGGATGCGTGGGATTACAACAGCGGCGCAGACAGCTCACCACCGACCCGCTGATTTGTCAGTAACCAAGAAAGCCAAAAGATGATCTTTTGGATCAAAAGATAGAGAATTACTTGTTTTATTTATAAAAACAAAAAACAAGAAAAACCGTTCATAATTCATCAACGATCGACCGACATTCAACACGAGTCGCAGCCCCCCGTCGACCGGAGAAGCGACCGGGCAGAAGAAATTCATGAATTGAAGTATTGAGAGAAAGCGCCGGTATCTGTGTTTTGTTTTCTCAATTTTTTGTTGTATTTGTTTAAAATTACACTTTATTATATGCTTGTCAGTACCCCGCAAACAAACTCCTCAACAGTTATACAAGGATTGCCTTCACAGCAGCCGCCGACGATGGCTGCCGGTCTCAGTCGCTGCATTCATCTTTTTTAGCTTTTTGTGTAGTTTTATGAATTAGTAAGAATATAAAAGAAAAGAAAAAGAGAAAAACACGGGATTCCTGGCCTCTTGAGCCTAATAGCCATAGATATTTTGGCTCTCGCTCACACAATAAGTTGTTTAGTGTTTATATAAACACAAGAAAATGTTAAACAAAAAAAACAGAAAAAAGCATTTGCACACACACATAAAGAAACAAGAACACCACAGAGCTTCATTGCACCCTTCACTGGTGCTGTAAACAATACGCTAATTATAATATATATATATATATATATATATATATAT